AGCATTCGCTGGCTGGGGAATTCTGGGAGTTGAAGTCCAGACATCTTCAAGTTGCTAAGGTTGAGAAATACTGGTCTAAAATGTATGCAAAAGATTGCATTCTTAAAGAACACGCTTACCTTCCAGCTCCCGGTTCTGTCATAGCTATCGCACCAATACATCTGCCTGCTGCCATTTCTGGAATGAACCTTTCAATCTGCTCTTTTGAGCCATAGTTTGCTATATAAGGCATGACGATATCAGAATGAAGACTAAATCCTGGGCCTGTACAATTAGCATACATCCTGGAAAGAAAAGAATTTAAAAAAAACCAAAGATTTGTGCCTGAATTTACTTCGACTACAAAGAAGAATATTATTATTGAACTAGCCCTACAATGTCATATTTTAGATCAGCTTTTTTCCAACCTTTCGCCCCGGAGGAACCCTTGAAATAATGTTTAGATCTTAGGAAACCTTTGCATAAAAATTGCAAAAAGTACAAAACGATACAATTGCTTCTAATCTATACAATGAATATAGACAGCAGCAAACTGTTCAGGCCAGCATGGCAGCTGAATCATAGTGCATATAAATCCCCACCACTACAAGTCTAGCATTGCCTACAGTGCAAAGTTCAGAAACGGCATTTATTTATTTTCAATTGCAATATGTTGCCTCTCATAGAATCCTGAGAAAGGCTGGTTTTGTTAGTTACATTTTGGAGGGTTCCATAAAACAAGAGATTCATGTTGCTCATTGAAAAACATTCCTATTACGGAGTTTAGTGGTTTCATAATTATACTATATCACCAACATAACATTTCACTTTGTGCTCCTCTCCATGAATTTTGATCCTGTTTATCTGCTTATCATTTTAGATCTTGTTGGATAAGACTTTCAGTGCAATTGCAAATAATAAAAGGGAGAATGAACATCCATACCTTGAGCCTTTGCAAATTGAAAGCCTCGTGGAAAGTGTTCCGTTCACTGTGATCTTTGCCGTTTTGTGTTGCTCAGGTTTTGCATTCTATTCCAATATTCTTTTTGTACTAAGCCTCTAGTAAAATAATCTATTCCTCAACATACAAGCCACCATGGCTTGATTCACACTTACACTAACTTAAATAGCAATATCAGTTAGACTTATATACCGCTTCATAGGGCTTTCAGCCCTCTCTAAGCGGTTTACAGAGTCAGCATATCGCCCCCACAGTCTGG